GTCTCTGCTATGAACTTGATAAACCAACTCTCTTCTTTAGACTAGCTTTTAGGCGCGTCAATTTGAAACTTGTAGGTAAAAATATTAGAGAGCGAGCGATTCGAGCTTGTTCCAAGTTTTTTTTTTCGCGGCTGTATTTCCTAAACGTCTGACTGCGAGCTTGAGCACCAAGGAAACTTCGTGCGCTGCCAACCGCCTCTGACAGGAAACCGTGACTTGGAGGGGAGAATAATCGTTGGTTTGGGTGGAATGCGACTTTCGATGTGCAATTGTGATGGAGCGTGGCTCATCAATGACTGTGTATTGCCGCAAAGAAGGAGAGTTCCAGTCGGACTCCTTTTCTGGGTTATTTTGCCTACTTTAAGGCACCATGACCTTATAAGGAACGAATGTCGAAGTCGTTGCTGTCGCGAATCCCTCTTGTGTGTAAGGAGAAGTCGCAGTCAACGGCGCTGTGTAAGGCTGTCATACAGAAAGGAACCGATATCAATTTGTAGCTTTTCACATGCCTCACAATCCAGTATGCTGAAGGCAGCTCATACGAATTCCGCCTTTGTGGGCTCACACCTGGTTGGTAACTACCGCTGGTATGGCTCACGTTCGCGTGTCATTTCGACAGCCTACGAGAAGAAACGTTTCTTAGCGGGCAATGAAACCCTGTGAAACTCTCTACTTCCCCAGTCTAGAGTGAAGATGTTCGGCGCTACTGCTCTCTGGTATATCCAGTGACCGAAACCAACGAAGGAAATGAAGTGGACCAAGGTTATAGGAGAGTTGGTGATGCGGCTTCGCTTCTGAATGTTGTGAGTTTTTCTCCACGCATCGCAAGAGAAGATTTTTCTTGGGCAGCGGCATCCAAAGCCTTTGGCTGAAGATGATCTCATCGATCTCCGGACAAGAGAATCGTAATTCACCGCGCTAGTGGGCGTCGCGCCCGCAAATGACGGTGGTTCCAGGCAGTAGATTGCGACAACAGGCAACTCAGAATCAAAAATAGTCATGAAGGTTTACGGCGGCGTGGTCTACATGATTTCCGGTGCTCCATCGACAAGTTAACACAAGTTAAGGAAGCGACGCGCAAAGCGCCGGCGCGGCGGAGCGGCAAATTACGATTCTCATGCCCGTCTCCCGTGTTCTATTACCCAACACCAGACATCAGCTTCCAGCGTAGATTTTCTGGAACGGCGTTTATTCAGCGATGCTTCGGTCAACTTTTTCTTTTTTTTCTTTCCTTTTTCTTCTCCTTTCTTTTTTTCCTTTTTTGCATTTTTTCTCGCTTTATCCGTTTCTTAACTCCTTCCCCTATGTAGTCCATGTCCATGTCTCAACTCTATCGTACTGAGGAGCCCGGGGGTTGGTAAGACATCGATGATTCGTCTACGATAACGGGCGAAACGGATCATCTGTGATGTTGAGTGTATTCCTTTCCCCAATATTTGTTTTTCTTTGTTTCTAATTGGCAAATAACAGCCTCTCCCCTTGCACATTTTGCATTCCGTGACCATATACAGGGGGGGGGCAAAAAAAGTCATTTTGCCTCCATGACTTTCAAGGCGCTATAAGTTACACTTTATTAAATTTTTATCGGACATTTTTACTACCATATTAAAGAGCACATTAAATACTATAATGATACTCCGCCACAGCCTTCTGGAGGAGCGCCATCGAGAGATTCGGCCGCGCGAAAGTGAGTGGGTACCGGAGTTGAGCGAGATCGTTGATTTCTCCGCCACTGTAGACCACCCTGAGCTCCGCCCGAACCGAGTAATTGAGGGGGTTTAGTTCAGGACCCCCGCTTAAATACCCCATCTTTTCCAGGTACTCAACGTTCTTCCATTCCAAGTAGGCGAAAGTTTTTCCAACGCCCTTCGATTAAATGTGTTGTCACCCAATCCTGTAGCAGTACAAAGTTTCCAAGAAGGTACGGGCGACGACATGAAGATGGGATATTCTTCACGAGTTGCCCAATGTAACCGCCAGCGCTCACCTTCAGTCCGGGGTCCACGAAGAAAATATTGGTCTTTCCATTCCAGGTACGTCCGGTCCATACCATCAACCAGCGCCTTGGCGACTGTGGTGAAGATGATGTCCTAGACCGTGGCGACGTTGTCGGAGCTGCTCGATGTTGGAGGTCATCCAGATCGAGAGTACTGGTCTCCAGGTAGCTATCCATGGGTGATTCCATTCAAGAAGTTCCGCAGCTGTTTGGAGGCCACGTGAATTCCAAAGGCGTTCTCCACTCAGGCCGCGACTGGAGATGACTTCATATTTTGGTGTACATGAAGGTGAATGGCGGCAGCCGGCTCCTGCTTATAGAGGAAGATCTTGGGTATCTTCCGCCCTGGTACTCATATCCACTTCCTCTGTCTGGGCTGCGAAAACTTCGCTCATATGTGACTCGGCCGGAATGACTTTTTTTTGCCCCCCCCCTGTATATGCTGCAACCGTTCTTCTAATCCGATCCCGGCTTTGAAATTGCTGACGAGGATTTCGAAAAACTTATTATTTTCCACACAAACTGTTGGGATTTTACATGTTTAGCTCCAGCTATTTTTGCTTTAGCTTGAAGCGTTGACGACCCATAGACCGTGAAGACTATCAAAGACGGCCTCGATCAAAGTGTTCCCAATTACCTGATTGAAGCAGCCAGTTCTCAAGAGAATGTTAGCCACTGCAGAATGTGCCATGACGAGCATGCCCACGTCGTTACTGAACCTGCTGTCAGATACTCCAAAGTATAGTTCTGCTCCCCTTTCCGAACGGGCAGCGCCCATTTCCTTCACGCTTGGATCACCATGGTACACTTCCTCTGGCCCTCATGTGGGTATTCATACAGCCGCTCATTGAGGCTGTTGTTAGCAGCTCAGTCAAACATCTCCGGAAAACCCAAAAAAATAAAAGAGACAACAACGGCGCTTGTCACCCAAAGAGAAAAAAAGTGACAGTATTCGCACAAACCTATCCATAGCCAAAGGCTTCCCTCTGTTTCGAACGTAGTTGTGCCGACAGCTACGCTTTTTATCTGTCGCATCACATCCGCTTGAACATCTGATTTTGATTTAGTTCTCACGAAAACTTTGCCATGTATTTTCATAATTGAATTCAGTCCCTTTCAGAGCAAATTTATCTGGCATTGTCGACTTAATTTCCAAGCTGCATATCTGGAAATACCGCTGGGCTCGAGCATAGTAATTAGCTCTCACATTTATAGACATTCGGTCTTTCCCACATACTGGTTTCGCTCACACTTCTTTTCTTATTGATATCAAACCAGGGAAACATGTCACGTTTTTTTGCTGCTGCTGCTGTTATACATACTTCTGTTGCGTGAAGTAAGTATCTCTTTCAAATTCGATAGGAAGGATAAATCTGGAACACCAGTATTCTTTGTAACAATGAGTCCTCCATTTATTTTTTCAATCTGAGCAAGCTTCTCCATGTTCGGTGGTATTTCTGTAACCATAGTACACAAATAAAATCATAGATTTGTATATTGTACATATTTATTTTTTGGATAAATGTAGATTTGCTGTAGTGGAATAATATTAAAGGCTGAGCCGCGTTCCAAAAATGATGAGTTCTGCGGCCTCTCCTTCTACATTTATAATCGGCTATGGTCGGTGACGCCTCGCAGAATGATCGTGTGTTGGCTTGTAATAGGACCCCCGTGTGTGTGTCGTCTGAACTTATACTATAAATGCCTCAGACTCACGTTCTGCCACCAAATGTGTGTGTGTGTGTGTAAGTGTGTGTGTGTGAGCGCCAACAAGATGGTGTGTGTCCGAGTGTGTGTAGGTGATGTGGTGGTGTTGTCGTCTGGCTCTGTCTGTCTGTCTGTCTGTCTGTCTCTTCGCTATATCTCTTACGAAATTCATGGACCTGAAAGAGAAATTGGACGAGGTCGGATCATGGTGGTGAAACGGGGTATGAGTAGAAAATGGACAAAACCTATTATAGCACCGCATGTCTCATGGTAAGCCTCGCCCGGCAGGTGGGGGATTTCGGTCACCCAGATCCGTTTGCGTTCAAAAGTTAGCGATGCCACCGAAAAAAGTCATATACTCACGGGTTCCACGAGCAGTCCGAGAAGAGGAGTACAGAGTGCAGTAAAGTTAAACAAAGGCTGACTGATACCAAACCGAAACGTAGAACACCGAAATGGGCGGGGACTTACTTGGTGATGGCGCCGGCGCTTCCGTTGGACACTGAAAATCGGTCATAACTTGGGAACTACGGAAACAGCCGAGACTGGAAAAAGTGCAATTAGGTTAGCAATGGGTTGGCACACCAAATGGAGGAGAGACACCCGAAATGGGCGGGCCTATTCGAGATGGGCGGCGCTTCCCACAAAGGTCGGTAACTCGGTCCCCGAAAATGTTTAGGGAGCGCAGAAAAGTCCATGACGAAGAAGAATATCTTGCAAGAGTCCACCATGTTTGCGGCGTGCTGAGGCCCGCCCACAGTGGGCGGGGCGTGCATTTGAGCACGAGGAACAGTATAAAAAGTCGTAGTTTGGTCCTAAATCACTGCAGATGGTGCCAAAAAGTGGATTATGGTCCCCAAGTGATCAAATGTAAGAATGTGCGAGGCACTCCCGTTGTGGGCGGAGCCTGCACCGAGGTGGGTGGAGCCAAATTTAAAAAATTCGCAAAACGCTTCCAGAGCACTCCAGACACCGGGAAAAAGTAGTTTGAAGTCAGCGAGGGGTTATCAGTTGAGAAGCGCGAGGCATACGTTGTGGGCGGGGCGTGCGTCAAGGTGAGCGGGGCCAGCCTTAAAAATTCCTCAAGCGGTTCCAGAGCACTCCAGACCTCTATGTGATACGGCCCGGCTTTGCGGGGCGTCGCGCCTACCTGCATTCGTATGATCAAATGCTCGACTAATACCCGGCTTTTCTCTCATCTGTCCACTTGATCAACGCTCCTTACCACCACTCCATACACCGTAATAGTGTTGAAAGGAGCAGGTATGATGCTATTGGTCAAAGAATGTTGACCACCTGTTCAGGTAAAAGAAAAGCCTGATACTAGGCGGCTAATGAAATGTGTGGAAGAAGGTAAGCGCGGCGGAGCCGCGCCCGCTCGACGAAGCCGTGCTGTATCTCAGAAGGAGGCGCGCCGGTGTCAGCCGGCGAAGCCGGCTGGTATAGTAATAACAGGATAGCAAATGACTCGTAGTGAAGGGAAAAGCAAAAAGTCTGGTCTGAGGTTCGCTACAGGGAAATGCCCTATAGCGAACCTCAGACCAGACTGAGGCGTGCATAAGGCGAAGAGAAGCCGTGGTCGCACACCTCACTCTCGCCACATGAATTGGAGAGAGTTAGTAGCGGACCAGCCGCAGCATCAGGTAACCATTTTGTGACGCTGGCTATTTGTACACCCACCATTTTTGTAGAACAGGGACTTAGCTTCCACCAGTGGAAAGTTGGACACGGGACCAGTCTTGGAAGAGTCCTATGGAACGAGAAATGGTTCAAGTAGCTCCTTTCAACCCTTCAATGACTAAATCGGCCGTCGATAATGTGCGCAAACGTTTACACAATACCAGTTCAGATAGTAGCGGCTGACCAAACTGGCCTGCCGCAGGGCAGGAGGTCAAGCTGAAAGAGTAGTATTTGAATGGAGTGAAGATACTGTTTCTCTGTAATAAAAAAGAACTTTTGCTGAGAGCCTAAGATATGGGCATCGACGAGATTGAGAGTGACTGAAGGTGTGTGCACACCATCTGTTAGTTCCTAATCTTCATCATTCTCTACCTTTATGCTTCGAACGTGCACCTTTTGACACCTTGGAGAAGTACTACCATTCTCAATAAACTATGCGGCCAACAGATAGGCAATGGCAACTGCGGGAGCGCCAAAAATCTTTGGTGCAGCTAGAATCGGCAGCTCACTCTGCATCTACTGGCACACTGAATGATGCCTAACTGCAGAAGCACACGGCTACTGATATTCTACGGAGCTACAAAACATCCGTACTACGTACTACACGGTGGATGGAGAGGAACCTCAACTTCTAAAGTGTAGATTTCGCCTTCTGATCGTAAACTTACCTGCTTTTTGCACCAACGGTCTCAGCCGGCCCCCCGGTTTTTTTCTTTTTTTTGCGGGTAATCTTCCGCCGTACTCATATAATTCTGAAAAGGAAGATGCCGACGACGCCTCCACCGGCTTACCGAAACAACAAACAGCAAGCTTTTGCAAGCAGCTTGTGTTATGTTCCTGTTTTGCTTCAGCGCTAATATACCGTCGCGCTTGCCCTTGTAGTGTATGTAAAGTAACAACAACACTTCTTATCTCTTTAGCTCCCATTAGCCAACCATTCAAAATGACGGAGCCCAGAAAGATGCACATGGAATCAGCCTGCTGAGCTGCTGCGCGGTAAGGTTAAACGAAACGGAACGAATTATCAGAAATTACGCTGTTCTCATCTACCGTCGGTTACATGTACGCTGTTCATGGAAGCGTTCACCTTTACTGCTAACCAGTACGGCGTGACCATTAGTTGCTCGCACTCAGTGCAGTATTCTGTCAGTATTCGTAGAGGTTGGTGACCACAAGCAGATGGTTACAGCTCCGGGCCTTCGAAGCTGCAATTATTCTGCACGAATCATTCGGACCGTTTTTTCCGGAAGCGCACGTTGTGTAAAACAATCGAAGGCTGGTTTTATTGCAAGACATATGTTTCGCTGACTCTGATAGCTTCTTCCCTGGAGCTACTCGTGAAGAAAACACGTACTCGCCCATAGCCGACATAAGGACAGTATGGATTTGTGAGAGAGCTCGTCAAGCGTTTTAATCATGTAGATCCCATGGAAGACTCAGGTGCTGACAAATAGTCGTGCCAAGTCTTCAAAAATTGCACGATCTTACGCGACAACATGATATAAACGGAAAGTGACTCACAGCACTTGTCGTCCCACGATAGCTTTGTTTTTGGCCTTTCGGCTTCAATTTTTGTCTTATATCGGGTGTATGGCAAAATCCTGTATTGTTTTGAAACCAGAAGTGTGGCTCTGGACCAGCCACCTTCATTTCCAGGATTTCATCAATGTGCAGTAGCTTGCGCGATTGTTCACTATTCTCACCACACGAGCTGAAAGCAAGAGTACAACGTACTTATGGATTACTTTTTCTGTTCTGTAGAGAAGCAGAGCGCTTACGTTGCCATCCATCAACAGTGATTTTTCGGAGAATACCCAAACTACGTTCTGACGTCCCGTCTACAGTAACAGTACCGTAGACCTTGCTTATTCGAGCCCATGCGTTCTTCAAGTATATGGTACCTGGGTAGTGTACATCGCCGACTAATGCAGTACAATCCTTGCGCTTCACTGCCATCTCCATTGTACAATCTAAAACATTCCTTCCAAGTATGAGGCTAGTGGGTTTATTCAAAGAGAAATACATTGGTTACGTTTGTGGGATTTCAGAAATCAAGTATGAATTCGCGGATTCTAACTAACTTATCAAAGATTGGAAGAATGGACAAAAATACGTCAGAGACGCCCTGAATGAGGTCCTAGGAGTGGATGAGTATTTGAAGACGCAAACACTATGCGCAGGCCGAGAGGTCAAGATACGGTCCAGCGTGCATCGCAAAATCCGCGACGTTGGGAAGGCTTTTCACCCATTATAAGGGCAAGATCGTTTGTGGATATCCTGAAGTATCGTAATAGCAGCAATAGTAGCGCCTATTCAATCCGCCTATTAATCGTAGCGATTCCGATGACCTATTCGAAACTCAGGGGGAATTCCAGTCAAATTCGCTTCAAGTTCTCACGGGGTTTCTCCCAGGGTTTACCAAAGAGCATCTGCATGTGGCAGCGGATGTTCAGTGGAACCCTGACGTTTGTACATTCCGTGTCGTATAGGACTTCGTGTTGAGTTACGAACGTGTCAACGGCACTGCAAGGGCTAGCTTAATTAAGCTTACGGGAATAATGCTCATCTTCTCAAAACATTTAGTTCTCTGACGTCAAGTAAGCTGTTGAATGGAAACTTCCCCCTAAACAATTCTGCTTTAAGGTTGGGCCGAAGCCGGGCACCAACTACGTAATTGCTTCAGCGTGTTTTGAGTAGAGTATTCCTATCCATAACGAATCTGCTCACAGTTTTGCAGAATTTTTTTCTTCAGGAGGTCGCCATAAAAATACATAAAACATCAATTGCGATATCCGGGTACCCGAGTGCCGTCTGCCGGCTTTGCCCGCGCTGCCGCACAGCGAGTGAATGGGTGCAGAAAGCGCACTTGGGCTAGTCATGCCTAGTGCGCTTTCTGCACCCATTCACTTCTTGCTGTTCTCTGCCTTCGAGTGCTTCTTCGTTATGAGATTTTGAACTCGTGAAAGTGCTACAGCAGTGCTACAGCTCGGACGTATCAGATAGGTGTACTCTCCGCGCCGAATTTCTACGTTCCTTCACTCTCTGCCTTATTATTACGGTTGGCGGAAGTGTCACACCTT